GTGTTAAACTCATTACAGGTGCAGATCATAATGGTTGAGTTGCAAATCATCAGTGATGTTGCTTCTTCCTCTAACTCTTCTTCTATGGTGTCTTCAAAAAAATATGAAGTTTTTCTAAGCTTTCGTGGTGAGGACACCCGCATGAACTTCACAAGCCATCTTCATGAAGCTTTGAAGAAAAAGGAAGTTGAAACCTTTATAGACTATGAGCTTAGAAAGGGAGATGAAATCTCACCAGCACTCATCCAAGCCATAGGAAATTCTCTTGTATCTATTGTCATCCTCTCACCAAACTATGCTTCCTCAAAATGGTGCTTGGAAGAACTCAGCAAGATTTTAGAATGTAGGAAAAAGCAAGGACAAATGGTGATACCTGTATTTTACAATATAGATCCATCCCATGTGAGGAAGCAAACTGGAAGCTATGAGCAAGCCTTTGCAAAACATAAGGAAGAATCCAATTACAACAAATGGAAAGCTTCTCTCAATGAAATAGCCAATTTAGCTGGGTGGGACTCTCAAAATAGGTAAATAAAATGATTCAATTTTTTGAAAGAAAAAAAAAAAGAAAGAAAATTTGTTGATTTAAATTGAGTTAACAAAATTTGGTTGAAAATACAACAAAGTTTAATGATGGTAATTAAAATTATGACACAAATTATATGATATCAAAATAAAAATTGAAGCGAACAAGAAAAGATATAGAGCTATAATCTAGAAATATTTCTAAGAACTTCTCTACTAAAAGTAAAGAATATTTTTCAACAAATAAGTTCTTAAAACATTTATAGATTTGTATTCAAACATGCTTATAGTTGTTTCCTTCTATTGTGTATGATTGTGTTATGCAATTGTTGCTCATCAAAGAATTTCTTTGTCCATTACTGTGTTTAATTGTGTAGAGTTAAAAAATAATTCTTTTTTTTTAAGTTGAATAAATTATAGAAATGAGATAATACATTAACAAGAATTTCCTTTACATGGTTTGAAAAGATTCTCCTTAATTGGTCTCACCAGGTTTTCACTGTGAACAATAATATTTCCATAGTATATTTTTATACATAGTGAACATGTAAGCAATGATAATTTATTGTAATTTATTCATCTACTATGAAGTTCACTATTGAAAAATATTTCAAATATTTTCTATTCAATAACCTAAAAATAAATTTAAATATCGATATCTTCATTAACCCGAGTCTTTTATAACTTTTTTTTATTCTACCTATATATTGTTTGTGTATTTGGAAACTTTTAATTCCGTTACATGCATGAGAGCATGCGTATGTAGAATAATAACTTCCATGGTAGTTTAAATAAGTTCATTGTGTAGAAAAAACATAGATATTTTTTATCTTCTCTAAGTCATTGAATTTTTATTCCTCAATTATATCATTTTCTCTATTATTCTAACATATTGATCTATGATTATGTATAATTATTTTTTTTCTATTGTATTTGTTATGCTCATAACACAACATTTATTTCATTGTGTTTCTTCTTTCCTATGCTAGGACTGAATCAGAACTCCTTAAGGAAATTGTTGGAGACGTTTTGCAAAAATTGACTCCTACTTACCGAAACCAACTTAAAGGTCTGGTAGGAATTGAGGACAATTATGAAGAAATTGAATCATTACTGAAAATTGAGTCAACTGAAGTTATAACCATTGGAATATGGGGTATGGGTGGCATAGGAAAGACCACCCTAGCTACTACTTTGTATGCAAGATTATCTCCTTGTTTTGAAGGTTTTTGTTTCCTGAAAAATGTAAGGGAAAATTCAAGCAGCCATAATGGACTTGAAGCTTTACATAACAAACTTTTCGCCAAGTTGTTGGAGATCGAAAATCATTGTTTTGATATGAATTTTGTGAGGCGTAAGCTTAAACATAAAAAGGTTTTCATTGTGTTGGATGATGTGGACACCTTACAACAATTAGAATATCTAGTTGAAGATTATGATTTGTTGGGGCCAGGAAGCAGAGTCATTGTTACAACTAGAAATAAACAAATTTTTAGTCTAGTTGATGAAGTATATGAGGTCAAGGAATTGAGCTATGATCAATCTCTTCAACTTTTTTGTTTGACTGTTTTTGGAGAAAAACAACCTAAACATGGATATGAAGATCTTTCAAGAAGTGTAGTTTCCTATTGCAAAGGCGTTCCTTTGGCTTTAAAAGTTATAGGTGCAAGTCTTCGTCGAAGAAGTGAAGAGGTTTGGGAAAGTGAATTGAGAAAGCTCCAAAAGATCCCAAATATGCAAATTCATAACATTTTAAAATTGAGTTATGATGGCTTAGATCGTTCTCAAAAAAACATCTTTTTAGACATTGCCTGCTTACTGAAAGGAGAAAACAAGAATTTTGTAACAAGTCTACTAGAAGCTTGTGGTTTCTTTGCAGTTTCTGGAATCGAAGTCCTTTTGGACAAAGCTCTTATAACAATTTCAAATTACAATTTGATAGAAATGCATGACTTGATACAACAAATGGGTCAAGAAATTGTTCATCAAGAATCCATCAAAGATCCTGGAAGACGAAGTCGATTATGGAAACATGATGAAGTGTATGAAGTATTGAAATATAACAAGGAAAGTGGAAAATTTAATGATTTATTTATGTACGATAACTAGTATGATAGCCCAACCAATTATTATTTTTAATTTTGTTTAACAGGGAACTGATGATGTTGAAGGGATAATTTTTAATTTGGATACATTAACTGAGGATTTGTGTTTGAGCTCTGATTTCCTTGCAAAGATGCCTAATGTGAGATTTCTTAAAATCCATACAGAGCACTGGAAGCAGAACAAATTTAATGTGTCCCTTCCTCATGGTCTCAAGTCATTCTCTTATAAATTGAGGTACCTTCAATGGAAAGGATTTTGTCTCGAGTCTTTGCCGTCTAACTTTTGTGCTGAACAACTTGTAGAGCTTGACTTGTCTTTGAGCAAGGTTAAAAGGCTTTGGGATGGGGTTCAGGTAGGAATGTGGCTATACTTGCTACATTATTTTTCTCTAAGTTTTTAAAGGTACAAGTGAGCCTTGAATGGTAACTAGTTAGGTTTCTCTTTTAGTTAAGGCTCATGATTATCAATTTAAAATTTTTCTTAACATTGTGATGCATCTTTCTTGTTACAGGATCTTTCGAATTTAAAGACAATTCTCTTATATGACTTTCCAGGGCTGGTTGAGATTCCGGACTTATCTATGGCAAGAAAACTTGAACGTATTTCTCTTATTGATTGTATAAGTTTGCGTGAGCTCCATCCGTCCATCACGTCTCTCCCTAAGCTAACAGAGTTGGAGTTAATTCTTTTGTTTGACTGTTTTTGGAGAAAAACAACCTAAACATGGATATGAAGATCTTTCAAGAAGTGTAGTTTCCTATTGCAAAGGCGTTCCTTTGGCTTTAAAAGTTATAGGTGCAAGTCTTCGTCGAAGAAGTGAAGAGGTTTGGGAAAGTGAATTGAGAAAGCTCCAAAAGATCCCAAATATGCAAATTCATAACATTTTAAAATTGAGTTATGATGGCTTAGATCGTTCTCAAAAAAACATCTTTTTAGACATTGCCTGCTTACTGAAAGGAGAAAACAAGAATTTTGTAACAAGTCTACTAGAAGCTTGTGGTTTCTTTGCAGTTTCTGGAATCGAAGTCCTTTTGGACAAAGCTCTTATAACAATTTCAAATTACAATTTGATAGAAATGCATGACTTGATACAACAAATGGGTCAAGAAATTGTTCATCAAGAATCCATCAAAGATCCTGGAAGACGAAGTCGATTATGGAAACATGATGAAGTGTATGAAGTATTGAAATATAACAAGGAAAGTGGAAAATTTAATGATTTATTTATGTACGATAACTAGTATGATAGCCCAACCAATTATTATTTTTAATTTTGTTTAACAGGGAACTGATGATGTTGAAGGGATAATTTTTAATTTGGATACATTAACTGAGGATTTGTGTTTGAGCTCTGATTTCCTTGCAAAGATGCCTAATGTGAGATTTCTTAAAATCCATACAGAGCACTGGAAGCAGAACAAATTTAATGTGTCCCTTCCTCATGGTCTCAAGTCATTCTCTTATAAATTGAGGTACCTTCAATGGAAAGGATTTTGTCTCGAGTCTTTGCCGTCTAACTTTTGTGCTGAACAACTTGTAGAGCTTGACTTGTCTTTGAGCAAGGTTAAAAGGCTTTGGGATGGGGTTCAGGTAGGAATGTGGCTATACTTGCTACATTATTTTTCTCTAAGTTTTTAAAGGTACAAGTGAGCCTTGAATGGTAACTAGTTAGGTTTCTCTTTTAGTTAAGGCTCATGATTATCAATTTAAAATTTTTCTTAACATTGTGATGCATCTTTCTTGTTACAGGATCTTTCGAATTTAAAGACAATTCTCTTATATGACTTTCCAGGGCTGGTTGAGATTCCGGACTTATCTATGGCAAGAAAACTTGAACGTATTTCTCTTATTGATTGTATAAGTTTGCGTGAGCTCCATCCGTCCATCACGTCTCTCCCTAAGCTAACAGAGTTGGAGTTAATTCGATGTTCAAAAATTGATATCCTTAAAGTTCATTCAAAATCTCTTTGTAAACTTAGCATCTTTGATTGTTCATCTCATCTCAAGGAATTCTCAATTACATCGAAGGAAATGACTACTTTGAGCGTATTGAAAACCACTCTAAGTGCATTGCCGTCATCAATTTGGCATAATACGACCGCCGAGGCCCGTTTGGGCCGGTGGCGACAAGCATACGTAATGGGAAAATTTTAGGGATTATATATTGTTTTTAGGAGACGAGAAGTCTTTTGTTTCCTGCGAATTAATATTTTCAAAATTAAAGATAGGGAGAAGTTTAATTTTTTTAATTAATATTTCCCAGGAATACAAAAGGCCAGGTATAATCATTAAGCAACGTTTATAAGTGTTGCCTATTAACTTTAAAGAAATAAACTTTCCATTTTAATAATAAACATGGTTAATAATATACTTTGGGAACATTTTTTATTGTGTTGCATGATATAAAATAAGCAATAATTTATAAATTGTTGCCTAATATGAATTTTAAGAACAGTTTTTTAAACTATTGGGTAGAGAAGTGGCCACAATTAGAAATTTGTTGCTTGTTTCATATTTCGGGAATAGTTTTGTAAATATTGAAAAAAGAATAGTGCACGCTTTGATCAAGTGTTGCCTATATTTGCTTTTGGTAACAATTTTATGATTGTTGTCAAACAAAGTGCCAACAGTTTACAAAATTGTTGCCTATTCCATATTTTGAGAACATTTTTTTAGGCCTTGCCTAAAAACTCGTTGCCTAATATAAATTTTTTTGTAGTGAATCAATGACTAACATGGAGCCCAGAAATAAAGGCTAGCTCAAGGCTAGAAATAACAGCTAGCATAAGTTAGATTGATTTCTCAGCTTTCACCACTTAAACGCAGAAGTACGGTACTATGTTAGGATAAAAAAATTTGTATATGGGTCTACCACAACATTAGTTTGCAACACTAAGCCACCTATGGTTAGAGACTGAGTACTCAACTTGGTATTTTACTTGATTGATCAATAGATACGAGTCTCGACCTTACCCACACATAGATACCATAGAGAACCTAGAGAAGACAAATGAAAAACAACTTACCCATTCACATACCAACTTACCTTCTGAAGGGTTCAACTAGGCTCTCAGAGTACCACAACATATATTCGCACAATGAGATATTAAGTTCAAAAATATCTTTAACTTTCCTCTAATTTTTAGGTAACACATCTAAGATATGTATCTAACCCACATATCTATAACATATCAACTTGACAACTTATTCATCTTTCAATATTCAACTTATCAACATTAACATCATATAACATTCAACTTTCAACTTCATAACATGTCAACTATAACAACGTAAATAACTTACATCTTTACAACATATACATCTTGAGCAAACAACATCATAAATAAACTTAAGCAACTAAAACAACTTACAACTTCACAGCATACTTTAACTTACTACAAATCAACTCATACAACATATTACCATACTACTTGTACAACTTATCCATCATACAACAACTAAAAAACAACAATTTACCACCAATTATTCATAATACAACTTATCTATCCTCAATCAACTAAAAAGCATCATTAGAATGCAATTTCTAATCATCCAACTCGTGCTCAATGCCACTCACTATACACATAACGTTACTGAGTCAAGGAGTTCTTTGCCTAGACCACGCCTAGTGCCTACACAACTCACAACCGTAGAGGCCCTTGGGACCTCAGGTCTAGCGTGGTAAAACACCATGCTTAGCCCTATCTCAGGCAGAAAGTATCTACTTGAGTCTCACCCAGTGTAGTTACCACGACGTCCAAAAAAATCTAGAGAAAGAGTTTTGGCTTGGCCACCCTGGGCGCCACATAACCTTGGGCCTTACGTCCTTAAGTCAAAGAGCCCTCAACACATCCACGCCTGACGCCATTTAACCCGTGCTTAGCAAGGTCCCAACCCAAGATGTGTCTCTCTCCTCATGCTTGGCACCACCAATCTTGTGCTCAATGTGAGTGAGACAAAGACCACTCCTTTAGAACCATACCCGACGCCTTGAAGGCATGCTCAATGCAATATCAAATTCTAAACTCATGTAGAACCCGAATTTCGCACAATACCTAACAATTAGAAAGTTTTCACGATAAGCAACACCTCAAATAGCATTTATACAACAAATACAACATAAATTCATCATCGAAAATAGCATGCAACTAAAAATGATTACCAATCAATCATGAACCTCCATGAATGTCTTGAACTCTCAAAACCCTTGAAAACTCCTTTCAACTTCATCATTTCTCAATCAACAGAAATAAACAACTCATTCCTATCATCACAACTTCGTAATACACCCTAAATATGAATCATTACTTCCTTTACCTCCTTGTAAGACATTTACTTTTAACAGTGACATGACACAATTAAAAGATATAATTAATTGCCAATGTAAAAAAACTTTACAATGGCAGTGTATAGGTGATTAACTCAACTCTTAATTACTCCAATTCAACATTTTTAATAGTTCAATGACTAGTTCAATTTTCAGTTATGTAAACTATCTAAGCAAAACATGTATAGTAGGTCTAAACTTCTAATTTTATTATTACTTACAGTTTTCCCTTTGCAGTTATGTCATGTGCATATTAATGATCATATTTTTGCTTATTTCTAAGTTGGCATTGACATGAACAGGTCACTTGACTCCAAGGAGTGATGTATACAACTTTGGTGTAGTCTTGTTAGAGTTACTGACAGGAAGGCACGCCGTGGAAGATGATAGACCCGAATTTTGAGAGGAAACACTAGTTGGTTGGGCAAAGCCATTCTTGAGTGATAGCAAAAGAGTTTTGAGAATAATGAACACAAAGTTTGTGGGGGTCAATACTCCAAGACAGGAGCACAAGCTGCAGCTGCACTTGCATTGCAATGCCTCAATATTGACCCAAAATTTAGACCACCTATAGTGGAAGTTCTAGCAGCATAGGAAGGGCATAATTCCACAAATTCATTTCCAAGGACACCAAAATCTGATAACCATGCAACCAAACATTTTGGTGCTCATTCAGAGAAGTAAAATGGAAATACAAAATATAAGCTTCTTGGCTTGTTTCTTTTTTCACATTGCATTAAAAGAATGCAAAATGCAAAATTATATTTTCTATTATCAGTAGTGGTTATTTTAATTCAAATTAAATATTAGCATGTGCTTTGCATCAATAATGAAATGCATATAATTTATTTTAAATGAAAATTTGAAAAAAAATGTCAAATCCATAAAAATGTCAAATAATAATTATTGTCATTTATTATATATTTTAAATATAGGATATATATATATATATATATATGTATATATATATATATATAATCACTTATTCGATGTAAATTTAAATCATTCGTAATCTTATACACCAAATAATTATATTGTATTAATATAAATTTAAGTAAAATATTAAATCATAAAATATAATAAGTGAAAATATTAATATAAAATGATGGATAGGGTAAATAATACATAAGATTACTTAAATTATAAATTAATTTTTTATATAAAAAAGTACGTACATTTAAAAATAATGTCACAAGTTTTTTGGCCAGTGCTTTAAGTTTTTTTTATTTTTTATTCTTTCTTACTCGAGATATGAGCAAGTTTGGATGTTGAATTTTTCGTTAGTTTTTTTTATCTCAATACGGAAAAGGAAGGATTTAATTTGGTTTTAAGTGCCGTGTATGAATAAAATTTTATTTGCGGAATGATGATTGAATCGAGTGTAGTAAACGACATCATATTCCCTTAGGACTCAGTTTTTTCTTTTTTTTTATCATTACTAATATGATAGTGGAGTTAGCTGCTCCCACTATTTTTTTTTATATATATATAGAATGAAATGAACTATATTTAAATAAAAATTAAAAAATTAACCTCTTTCAAATTTCTACTTGATTTTGCAAAGAAATTTATAAACGTGAGACTCGGGTCAGTAAATTTCCCATGAATTTCGTATTAAACAAACAAGTAGAAATATTTAAACCAAAATATTTCTTTTCTCTCCACACTATTTTGAAGCTATTTCTGCGAAAAACAAACACAATGTTAAAGAATAGCTTGAGACTAACCTTAATAAGTAGAATCTAAGCGTTGAATACAAGAAAAAACTTATTTACTTAAATAACCCTAGACAATTATTTTTAGTTGATTCAAGAGTATAACTCCTTTCATCATATCAACCTGTATAAGATAAAATGGTACCAACAATAAAGACTCTATGTCTAAACTGAGAATTGAAATTTAATCCTTCGTTATTCATAAAATACGAATTAAACAACTTGAACAACCAACTTTCAATTAATTCTATACACAGCCTAAGCAAGATTGACTCGTGTAAAAAATGACTATTATTTCTTTAAAAAAATAGTAAAATAAGACCAACAAATAAATAATCCCAAATGCATCACAAATACAAGTCTTAAATGCTTTTGTCCCTGAACGTAACAGTTATGCAATTTTACTTATTTAAATATTTTAATCAAATAATTTAGTCTTTAAATTACTGTGTGATTGTGTCTCAAATATCTCAATTTTACAAATTTTATTTATTTCAATTTCATATATTTTAATAATAATAACTATATTATTTAATAATACATAACTAAAAATTATAATATATATAATTTAAATAAGTAAAACTGATATGAGTATGATATTTAAGAACAAATATTTTAATTTAAAAAATTAAATTATTCAATTAAAATCTTAAAACGTGTAATAGTAAAAGTCATTGAAAAAAAAAAAAAAAAAAGCAATTAAGGTAGCATACATGAGACGTGTTGCTCATATATTATATAGGATGTGGGGCTCCACTAGAAATTTCCCAGAAATTTCTCAGAAACATTCACGACATTACTGTATATTTACATATCTTTTGTTTAATTATTTTTTCATCCTTTTCAAACATTATAAATAAACAAACATGACAATGACATGAAGTGATGAAGGGTATATTTATATACACTGTACAATTGTTGTCTATATCTTCTCTGCTGACCCGAGAAGCTGTCGTGTTGGTGTAAAGAATCTGTGTATTCTTCTCTGTTTGCAAGAAGTTGGATCGGTCTGCTCTGCAGTAAGGTCATTCTCTCCATTTACATATTTAACCACAGTTAGAAATAATAGAAGATGACACAGAATGACTAATTTGATTTCTTATTGTGTTCTCATGTTTTAGCTGAAAGATTATGGACTTGAAAACAAGAGGGTTCTGTGATTGAATAGGATGCAGAAATAACTTGATTTTTGTTTTCTTTTATAGAATTTATTTGGTGAGACACCGTGAATTTTTCATTGAACTGCTTATAGACATTCATTTATAATTTTTGTACTAATGTCAAGCATGCTTTAGTTATCAGCTTCTAATAATAATTTCTCTTTTAATCTAAGGTAGGCCTACTTTTAGAGTTTGAGTTATTAGATTTGTCAATTTTAACTGATATGTTAGTTTAATATCTGATTGTTGAAATCTTATGGAGATGTGGGCCTTGTTGTTTAAGGCTAAGTTAGTAGTCTTTGTTTTTTTAGCAGTCTTTGTTTTCTGGTATATGGATGAAAATCAAGCATCATTTGACCTATAAAAGTTGTAACATCAAATATTCAACTGTCAATATCATATTAATTAAGCTCTTTTAATCAACACCAATTTGTCTTAATTTAAAGCTGAGATATTTTCTAAACAATATATCTAATGAACAGCTGCAGTGCCTTGAGCATACGGCATAATTTTCAATCAATGTTGGATAAAAGATAGTCATCTGTTTGATAACATGTCAAGGAAATATTGATCTGATATTTATGGTTAGGACTTAAGTTTTGATCTGCACTACTATAGGGTAATCTGAAGTTTTGATTCATTATTCATGTTACTAGGCTTTTTTTATATATAATTGTTTACTTATCTTTCGGTCTGTTCAAATGGACTATCAGCATTTCAAAGTCAAAAGCAAGTCAGTGATCAAGGCTAAAGAAATCTCCAAGGATCACAAAACACCTCAAAGTCACACTAGCAATTTGGCAAACATTTGTCTAATTGTACTTTTGTAAGTGAGCAAGAAGATATGATCTTTGAAGTTTGAAGTGTTTGATCTCATATTTGACAGATTTATAAATTCCAACAAAAAAAATATTAAGGAAAAGTGTCAAGAAGATACTGAAACATAAAATCCTTTTATTATATTTCTTCAAGTGTAGTGTTAAATTCATTACAGGCGCAGATCATAATGGTTGAGTTGCAAATCATCAGTGATGTTGCTTCTTCCTCTAACTCTTCTTCTATGGTGTCTTCAAAAAAATATGAAGTTTTTCTAAGCTTTCGTGGTGAGGACACCCGCATGAACTTCACAAGCCATCTTCATGAAGCTTTGAAGAAAAAGGAAGTTGAAACCTTTATAGACTATGAGCTTAGAAAGGGAGATGAAATCTCACCAGCACTCATCCAAGCCATAGGAAATTCTCTTGTATCTATTGTCATCCTCTCACCAAACTATGCTTCCTCAAAATGGTGCTTGGAAGAACTCAGCAAGATTTTAGAATGTAGGAAAAAGCAAGGACAAATGGTGATACCTGTATTTTACAATATAGATCCATCCCATGTGAGGAAGCAAACTGGAAGCTATGAGCAAGCCTTTGCAAAACATAAGGAAGAATCCAATTACAACAAATGGAAAGCTTCTCTCAATGAAATAGCCAATTTAGCTGGGTGGGACTCTCAAAATAGGTAAATAAAATGATTCAATTTTTTGAAAGAAAAAAAAAAAGAAAGAAAATTTGTTGATTTAAATTGAGTTAACAAAATTTGGTTGAAAATACAACAAAGTTTAATGATGGTAATTAAAATTATGACACAAATTATATGATATCAAAATAAAAATTGAAGCGAACAAGAAAAGATATAGAGCTATAATCTAGAAATATTTCTAAGAACTTCTCTACTAAAAGTAAAGAATATTTTTCAACAAATAAGTTCTTAAAACATTTATAGATTTGTATTCAAACATGCTTATAGTTGTTTCCTTCTATTGTGTATGATTGTGTTATGCAATTGTTGCTCATCAAAGAATTTCTTTGTCCATTACTGTGTTTAATTGTGTAGAGTTAAAAAATAATTCTTTTTTTTTAAGTTGAATAAATTATAGAAATGAGATAATACATTAACAAGAATTTCCTTTACATGGTTTGAAAAGATTCTCCTTAATTGGTCTCACCAGGTTTTCACTGTGAACAATAATATTTCCATAGTATATTTTTATACATAGTGAACATGTAAGCAATGATAATTTATTGTAATTTATTCATCTACTATGAAGTTCACTATTGAAAAATATTTCAAATATTTTCTATTCAATAACCTAAAAATAAATTTAAATATCGATATCTTCATTAACCCGAGTCTTTTATAACTTTTTTTTATTCTACCTATATATTGTTTGTGTATTTGGAAACTTTTAATTCCGTTACATGCATGAGAGCATGCCTATGTAGAATAATAACTTCCATGGTAGTTTAAATAAGTTCATTGTGTAGAAAAAACATAGATATTTTTTATCTTCTCTAAGTCATTGAATTTTTATTCCTCAATTATATCATTTTCTCTATTATTCTAACATATTGATCTATGATTATGTATAATTATTTTTTTTCTATTGTATTTGTTATGCTCATAACACAACATTTATTTCATTGTGTTTCTTCTTTCCTATGCTAGGACTGAATCAGAACTCCTTAAGGAAATTGTTGGAGACGTTTTGCAAAAATTGACTCCTACTTACCGAAACCAACTTAAAGGTCTGGTAGGAATTGAGGACAATTATGAAGAAATTGAATCATTACTGAAAATTGAGTCAACTGAAGTTATAACCATTGGAATATGGGGTATGGGTGGCATAGGAAAGACCACCCTAGCTACTACTTTGTATGCAAGATTATCTCCTTGTTTTGAAGGTTTTTGTTTCCTGAAAAATGTAAGGGAAAATTCAAGCAGCCATAATGGACTTGAAGCTTTACATAACAAACTTTTCGCCAAGTTGTTGGAGATCGAAAATCATTGTTTTGATATGAATTTTGTGAGGCGTAAGCTTAAACATAAAAAGGTTTTCATTGTGTTGGATGATGTGGACACCTTACAACAATTAGAATATCTAGTTGAAGATTATGATTTGTTGGGGCCAGGAAGCAGAGTCATTGTTACAACTAGAAATAAACAAATTTTTAGTCTAGTTGATGAAGTATATGAGGTCAAGGAATTGAGCTATGATCAATCTCTTCAACTTTTTTGTTTGACTGTTTTTGGAGAAAAACAACCTAAACATGGATATGAAGATCTTTCAAGAAGTGTAGTTTCCTATTGCAAAGGCGTTCCTTTGGCTTTAAAAGTTATAGGTGCAAGTCTTCGTCGAAGAAGTGAAGAGGTTTGGGAAAGTGAATTGAGAAAGCTCCAAAAGATCCCAAATATGCAAATTCATGACATTTTAAAATTGAGTTATGATGGCTTAGATCGTTCTCAAAAAAACATCTTTTTAGACATTGCCTGCTTACTGAAAGGAGAAAACAAGAATTTTGTAACAAGTCTACTAGAAGCTTGTGGTTTCTTTGCAGTTTCTGGAATCGAAGTCCTTTTGGACAAAGCTCTTATAACAATTTCAAATTACAATTTGATAGAAATGCATGACTTGATACAACAAATGGGTCAAGAAATTGTTCATCAAGAATCCATCAAAGATCCTGGAAGACGAAGTCGATTATGGAAACATGATGAAGTGTATGAAGTATTGAAATATAACAAGGAAAGTGGAAAATTTAATGATTTATTTATGTACGATAACTAGTATGATAGCCCAACCAATTATTATTTTTAATTTTGTTTAACAGGGAACTGATGATGTTGAAGGGATAATTTTTAATTTGGATACATTAACTGAGGATTTGTGTTTGAGCTCTGATTTCCTTGCAAAGATGCCTAATGTGAGATTTCTTAAAATCCATACAGAGCACTGGAAGCAGAACAAATTTAATGTGTCCCTTCCTCATGGTCTCAAGTCATTCTCTTATAAATTGAGGTACCTTCAATGGAAAGGATTTTGTCTCGAGTCTTTGCCGTCTAACTTTTGTGCTGAACAACTTGTAGAGCTTGACTTGTCTTTGAGCAAGGTTAAAAGGCTTTGGGATGGGGTTCAGGTAGGAATGTGGCTATACTTGCTACATTATTTTTCTCTAAGTTTTTAAAGGTACAAGTGAGCCTTGAATGGTAACTAGTTAGGTTTCTCTTTTAGTTAAGGCTCATGATTATCAATTTAAAATTTTTCTTAACATTGTGATGCATCTTTCTTGTTACAGGATCTTTCGAATTTAAAGACAATTCTCTTATATGACTTTCCAGGGCTGGTTGAGATTCCGGACTTATCTATGGCAAGAAAACTTGAACGTATTTCTCTTATTGATTGTATAAGTTTGCGTGAGCTCCATCCGTCCATCACGTCTCTCCCTAAGCTAACAGAGTTGGAGTTAATTCGATGTTCAAAAATTGATATCCTTAAAGTTCATTCAAAATCTCTTTGTAAACTTAGCATCTTTGATTGTTCATCTCATCTCAAGGAATTCTCAATTACATCGAAGGAAATGACTACTTTGAGCGTATTGAAAACCACTCTAAGTGCATTGCCGTCATCAATTTGGCATAATAGGAAACTTAGTGAACTTATTCTAACAGTCTCAAACAATTTTGAAAAGTTATCAGATGAAGCGGGAATGGGGTCGATTACCACACTGAATCATTCTGAGTGTGTGAAGCACAATGCATGCCATACCCACCACAACTTTGGCAACTTATCGTCTTTAGGAGGTTTTTGGTTAAGTGGAATTAATGGTGTGAGCTTGATTGAAAAAATCCAAAAACTTTCACTGCTGAAAGTACTTGACCTGATAAATTGTCAAAACCTTGTGTCTCTGCCACAACTTCCACCATCATTGGCTGTGCTACGTTTAAAGGATTTAAGGGAACTCGTGTCTCTGCCACAACTTCCACCATCACTGCAAATGCTTAAGTTAGTTGATTGTAGGGAACTCGTGTCTCTGCCACAACTTCCACCATCACTGCAAATGCTTAAGTTAGTTGATTGTAGGAAACTCGTGTCTCTACCACAGCTTCCACCATCTGTGACATATGTGAAAGCCATTAACTGCACTCTTCTAGGGACAGATTTCACTCAACGGATAGCATTACAACACATGTTGAGTCACTCACTGAGCCTTAACTTCGGTACGTTTTTCATGTTCCCAGGAGACCATGTGATTGACAAGTATGAGTTTCAAAAGGCAGGGAATTCAATAACTATTCCTTACCTCTCACCGTCTAACTTGTGTGGTTTCATTTCTTTCGTCATTCTTTACAAGGGGTCACACGATGGTTGGGCTTCGTTTTCTGTCTATCAAGATGACAAAACGGTCTGCGTCCACGATGACCCAGTATACGAAAGTTTAAGTTCAGATCACATTTTATTTTATTATTTTAAACTGGACGATCTTTCCAACAACGTACAATTGAAATTTGAATTTCATTTCTATGGCATGTATATTAGTAAAGATTTCACTCAAGAGAGAATAAAAGAGTGTAGAGTCTTCCCAGTGTATGCCCCAAGCATGGAAATTGGAGTTGGAGCATCTAATGCTGAAAATGAAATGGAATCCTCTTCTCAAATCAATAATAATGAGTCACAGCCTAGTGAAAATGGAGATGCAGTTGGAATTCAAGTTGAAGGCTCTAATAATAAAAATGGATTGGAGTCCATCACTCAAATATGTGAGAATGAGTTACAACATGAATTGACTAGAGTTGAAGGCTCTAATATTGATAATGAATTGGAGTGGGAACAACTTCGTCATGGGATTACTGCATTCTGTTCTTCATTGTAGGTTCCTTATTTTTAACTCTTTTTTTAAATTAAATTATAACTTCAAATATAGTAGTTATATGCTGGAAATACTCTTGATTTTGAAAAATTATAACTTGTATGTTACAATAACATTGTGTTCTACTCCAACGTTGAACAGGTTTTCTATTGAAATGTTTATGGAGAATATTGTTGAGTATGAGCTCTAGCATGGTGGAATAGTGAAAGCAATATTCAGAACTCTTTGGTGGTCTATTTCACGTCATTTACAAATAAAAAGAGATTATTTATTCTACCGCAGATGAGTGATATCAAACTATGATGGTAATGAGTTTATGATTCAAAATAAGAAAACCTTTCTTTGCTTCTTGTCAAATAAGATGAGTGATATCAAATTATGATGTGCTAGAAATATTTTATAATAAGACTTATTTTTTATCAGAGGAGCATAATATAATTTTATTCATGAGTCTCTATTTATAGAAAAAATTTGTTATACAAAATCAAATATTGATATTATCCTATTCTAAAATAAGGAAATAAATCTTAAAATAATCAGAACAGATTAAATCTAAATATTTGAAATATAAATAAAATATTCTTATAAAAAACTAACTTAATCTTCTAAAGATATTTAGGCATATTCCCAACACTCCTCCTTGACTGAATATCTTTATCACCTAATTTGAGTTTCAAAATCTGCCTTTTCTCTTTTTGATTGGTTTCTTCTTTTTGTGATTTTTGTTGTAATTCTTCTTGAGTGGGACCACTTTAACATTTGTCTCGAACTTCTCTTTTGAAGGTGATTTTTCATCATCTTCATTCTCCTCTTGATCATCAACTTTCTTTTGAAGACATGCATCTTTGTGTTCTTCACTTGTATCTTCATTTATAATTGGCTCCTCCTCCAAACTTAAACCAAAACTTTTTCCTTTCATATGAACATTGAATACTTCTT